AATACCAATTATAGTGCAAAAGAAAAATAATATGATTTTTTATACTTCATAGGGTTTAAGATGGGCTTTAGGTAGAAAACCCTAACTGAGAGTTTCCTTATTATTTTGTGTTGTCAACTAAAGGACTAGATAATGTCAGAGCAATCACATCAATCAATTCTTCTCCATACAAATCATCATTATATGTCCACGTTAGTATAAGCATGTTTTAAATATGTTCCATAATTTAAATATTTAAAGAGTTATGTTAGATCATTCTTTACCTATTTTAAACACTTTAGGTATGTATAAAGGACCCTTCACTATATAAAGGGTACCTCAAGATTCCGCCCACCACCATCATACATTCACAATAACGTTACTAGAGCAATGACTTCACTTATGCTTAAAACAGTCCATAAATCTAGCACGACAAATATCTCCTTAAAGCATAGAATTACCTCATACTCTTTTAGTCAAAAACAAACATTCGAGACTTTAATTCACAAATCCAAGAATCAAAAGTTTTACTTTTCCACACTCACATTTGTACGACCTGAATCTCTTCTTGCACTCTTGCATAATTAATAATAGAAATTGCTCCTTATAGCTATGCATAGCTAAAGTTTTGAACTGTGATAATCAGTCACACTCAATGCACGACAAGCCAAATAAGCCTGAAGGAACTGCAATTGCACTTGATGCTTCATATGCATATGAGAATATTGTACTTCAAACTAAGAAAATTTTGAATAGATTGAATCTATGTCTACGATGGAGTATGAGAAGAAGACTAATGTTGTAAAGGAGCGATTTTCTACAACTATTTCTACTTCATGATATTTTTTGTGCTATTTAGTTTTGCTCCCTACAACCAATTCTCACAATCTTCCTCTCACCCCAAACAATAATTAGTACACTTTACTATCATATTCTCTCCATCTTCCTTGCAACCCCCTACAATAATTGGTACAATTTACAATCTTACGTTGGTAAGATTCCACCAATTGCAATTCCAAGAGCATCCTGAATGCTCATCACTACAATGTTAGAGCACCACTTATTATGTAGTAAAGCACTTCCTTGCTAGAACGAGTAGCTTATCTATCTAACATAATCATTTTGGTACAAGTCCATTGAGTGTGCTAAGAAAAATTACAGCATAATTATTTATGTACCATCACATCAGTGTGCTACCTAGGCATATAGACCTCCACAACAACATACTTCTTATAAAAAATAAAGATTGAGCCATGTCCTTTATGATAAGTATAGGTCATCTTAAGATGTCCATAATTATACCTAGAAATCATCCTATAGGATAAGAATGAACTTAATATATTGGAAATGACGATTTAATAATAAATATGCATTGCCTGAGTAAGGGTGTATGATTTGGTAAATGCACACTATGAGCAGTAACAGGTGTCCTGATGATCATTAATTTGGATGATATATCATACGCTAAAATAAAATCTAATATGACTCCGTAGTCATCATGAATATTTCTAAAATCTTCTACCACTCTACAAACATGTCCATTTAAACTCCTCTAATAAATATTCTTTCTTCAAGAGGTATATTTGTATTAATTCTTATAAGTCATTCCAAACTTTTCCTTTAGAACCTATATCTAAGCCTACTTGAGGAGCATAAGAACTTATAATATTAAATATTTTAGTATCAACAACAATTTTAAGGGCTATAATTTTATCCCCAATTCTATTAATTTTTACAAATTATCTTTCAAACACTTATCCATAATTACGTCTGCACCATTTCTAGTGTGACTCTTACCTGAATACCAAAGTTTAAAACCTAAGTTATCAATCTCCTCAGTATTTTCTCCAATCCATTTAGTTTCTTGAATACATAAGTTATTTATCTTTCTATGAATCATAATATCAACTAATTCCATTAATTTACCTGTGAGAGTATTTATATTCCAAGATTCTATCATAATATTAATTTCACAGACTAACTTCTTTACTTGTATTCGTCCGTAATGTAGTAACCCTTGATTATGTGACACTAAACCCAGGCGTCGGTATAGCGTCCGGGTGTAGTTTCAATTACTTTCCATAAAATGAACAGCCTAATTTTCTCCCTTCAGTTTAATGATCTGGTCAGAAATAACTCAGGTCTAATTGCACAAAATATGTTATCTGTAACGTTCCAGATAGTCTCAAAATACTAATTCACATATCAATAAGAGATCAGTCGAAAAGAATTCAGCAAACACAATGCCAGAATAGCTTCATTCAAGTCCTTCCAAAAAGCCTCAAATCCAATTCACAGACCAGGAAAAAAAAAAAACGAAAAACCTAGATCTATAAACATATCAACTCCACGCGGCAATCCAGTAGATCCACCTTAACCGAACGACTAAAACGGAGATGAACAAAGCCACCGCAGTAACAAAGTAATTAGGGTTTCATAGGATTGGTAAGGAGGGGGAACAAGCACCTGCTGCTCGTTGCGAGCAAGGCATTTCCTGACGATCTCACCTTCAAGAGCTCGGCGTTCTTCCAGAGTTAGGTGCTCGTAGTACTGCGCCAGACGAGTTTGACCCTGTTTGTTCACCAGCAGCACAAACCGAATCCCCATCTTCAGGCTGCTTCGTTTTTACCGCTGCTGTCGCCGGAAATTGCCTTCGTCTGTACAAAAGACGATTCGGGACGATGAGCTGAGCAGGGTCGGAAAATACTCAAAATAGTGAGCAAATATTATTCGGAGAAGTTTTTTAAGTACAATAAATTAAAGTTTATATTCTTATTTCCATCTTTTTCATACATAGGGAAAAGTTTTTCTAAGTATATAAATTAAAGTCCGTCTTAGATGATTTGGTCTCATTAAACATCGTTCATCTAATAATCCGATTAGAAGAGTAGATATTTTAGATTCGACTTTTGTTAAGAAAAATAAAGATAGACGAGTAAGACTTGACATATTGTATAAAAAATGATCTTAATTTATTAGAATTTAATGTAAATATGACACTAAATAGAGCATAATGAAGAAAAATGATTCATGTAGTTGATCCCACTTAGTGAGATAATGATTTGTTGTTTTTATGTGAGATAAGTAAATGTGTAAAAATTGGGCGCTATGTAGGTAAATTCCTCAAAATTATTGCTATTATGAATTCAAATTTTAAAATAATGATATGCATCATTTAGATTTAATAGTTAAGTATAATTTTAAATAGCTATTTAAGATTAAAGGTGCATGATATGGCAAATTTAAATACATTTGAGTTTAAATTCATATTATATTTGACACTATACTCAAATTTAATAATAATAATAGTATGGATGGTGTGATAGCTATCTTTTCTAAATGCATTTAAATTCAAGTTCAAATTAATATCATATGATAAATAATGTGCATCAACAAATTTTATTTTTTGACATGAATCTCAATACATTTTTAAGAAAAAAAAAAATTCTAATTCTAATTAATGTTCATTGAAAACTTAGTTTTCATTAAGCTTATAGTCAAACTGACCGTCAAGAATGTCAAATTGATCCACTACGAGTCTGATCAAGCCTGAATCAAGTCATTGAATAATACTTAGAGGCTTTGGGTAATTAATTGGAGGGTCAAACTAACTCCAAATTTTACGTAACTATAGGCAAATCGATCACTCGACGTGACAAGTCCAACGAGCTCAAGATTACTTAATTTCGACGTCAAAAAGTCCCTCAAATCATTTTGAAAAAATACTTCTGATTAAGGAAAATCAACATAAGTCATTTAATTGGATGATTATGGGAGTTATTCGTCGAATGACCAAAATGACCCCCCCCAATCAAAAGTTATAAATAGACCTCCTCTCTTCACTTAAGAGGAGGAGTAGAATTTTAGTGTTGTTCTTGACTGAATAACCAGGGATGGCTTCCTGTCTCCATAGTAATCGATCAGCAATCACTAATCGTTGTGAACCAGCATTGGTCACCCTTATCTCGTTTCAATTGGCGAACTTTGTTTGCTTATGAATTATCATGAATACAATTTAATGAAATTTTGTTGAATACGATGTAACGAAGTATCTCAAATGCAGTGTAATGAAGTGTCCCAATTACAATGTAATAAAATTTCAAATATAATATAATAAAGTATTCTGAATATGGTATAACGAAGTTGATACTCCACCAAAAATGATGTCAACATTGAGATATTGTTCGCTTTAGCCTAATTGCCTCATGATTTTGACCAGTTGGTGAAACTTCCTAAGAGGTCATCCATCCTAAGAGTGCTCTACCATGAGCACATTTAACTTTAGAGTTCTATCAAAACTCTAACTGTTACACCAAAAGGCGTCTTGATGTTTAAAAGTACAACTTCATTCTACTTAGAGAGGTTTTACAATAACCTTCATTAAAATAATCGATGTCCTTGTCAGTTTTCTTAGAAGAAAGGTATTATGTCTCATACTGAATAAAGTGCTATGCCGTGGGAGCCGCCTCTTGAATTTGCATATGGGATAAAAGGTTACTTGGTGTAAACCATCTCTTAAATTTGCAAGGGCCATCTCTAGAATCTTATTTATCTTATGGATGATTCTGGGGTTTAGAGCAAGGATGTTATGGAGTTTAGATTGAAACTCCAAATTTAAGTGTGCTTATGTGAAAGCTCTCTTGGGATGGGTGACCTCCTAGGAAGTTATGCTAATGGAGAAAATGTGTGAGGCCATTAGTCCCATATGTACAATTTCTTGATGCTTAAGAGTTTGGGTGAAAGCGTGCTTGTGTGAAAGCTCTCTTAGGATGGGTGACCTCCTAAGAAGTTATACTAATGGAGAAATTGTGTGAGGCCATTAGTCCAAAATTTACAATTTCTTGATGCTTAAGAGTTTGAGTTGTTGCATACACAACCTTGTGCATAAAGGTAAGTTAATGGGTTTTTCTTACAATGATCGTAACAATCATGTTTAGCCTTATTCTTAAAGAAGATATAATACTAGTTTTGTTAAATGATATTGACTGGCATGCATCTTTATTATAAAGTCAATGTCATTTAAGAGAAAACAAAGATGTTGGAATAAATCTTTAGCTAGTAGGATACCTTAAACATATTAGTGATTGATTAATCATACTATTAGATAATTATATACATTTATGTTGTTCACTGCTCATTTAATATTTGTGTGTTTGCAAGATATGACTTGGTACATGACTATTATATTATCAGATTTTGTTTTAGGATATTTTTCCTTAAAACCACTTACTCATGTCTCTCATTCACACATATATTATGTATTAATTTGTTGTAACTACAAGCATGCTTGAATATAAGGCAACTTTTATCTAGCATTTTAAACTTATTACTATTGTCATTTATGTCCACATATGTATTTGATTTTAGGGATGGGCAAGGAACTTATAACTAAGGTATAGGTTCCATCGGTCAACAAAGAAGATATTATTTTAGAGATTGTGTAAAATCATTTCTTTAACCAAGATTTATAATATTTAAGGACATATAGCAATAAAATTTTATGAATAATGCATATCATTTTTTTGGATTTATAACACTATATTGAAAATGCTAATGAATTTTTACTTCCATAAATATATGTGCATTACAAATGGATTGATAATCCTTTAAAAGTATACTAGATTATGATGATAAGTTGTTTATTAAATGATACAACACTGTTATTATAGAATGAAATCAAATTTAAAATTTTCACATGTAATGCGTCCTAGCTCAATATGGTTCACGATCCTATCAAGGTCAAATTAAGCTTGGTCATTATAAAAAATAGTTATAACATAACCATATTTTAAAATATTTGGATTTGAACAAATGCATAGGCTGATTTACAACAAATAATTAGCTTATTGTTTAATCTCTCATCTTTATGTTGTGTATGAAATGATATGAATTGTTGTGATATTACTTAAATATAAATCAATGATTTGTAAAAATTATCATTATATTTGAATTACTTTCGTGATGGTAACATGTCACAAAATGATGATTCTATGACTCTTTGATAAAATAATTGCTAATATTGCTAAAGAACTTCACTATTCTTAGCAACCTTATGCTGGCGGCGGAGGATATAAAGCAACTATTAAGCCTTCAGGATAATAAAGCTGAGAGGAGAAGACATGCTATTAGGGTTTCAAAAAGAAGAGGGGAGAAGGGTTGAAGATGCTTTAGTTGTAGCACATAGACAGGTTGACAAACCTATCAGGGAAGGCTACACTTGATCTTCATAAATAGCCAACAAAAGCGGTGCAGAAAGAAATATGAAACAGTGAATAAAAATAAAGAAATATCACATGATTTATGTAATCAGGGAGGTGGCATCGAGTGCAGTTTGCGTGATTTGTGTGACCTATGCGTTAGGGAGGAAAATGCACAGCTCTTACAAATATCTAATTATCTTTATGATGGTTCAAATTACATGTAACCCATTTTAAGGCATAGACATTGGCTAGCTTTTATAATTAAGAGGTAAGAAGAGAGCACATGACTTATGGATCTTTAAAGTGTCTCCCATCTCTCCCTCTCCCTCCCTCCCTCTCCCTCTCTCTCTTAGTTGAAGTGTGACCTACTTTTAATCTAACAAATTTAGATATAATATATTTATTTTGTTGTAGCTAATTAAAAATTGTTTTAATTTTATTTTTTAAGCTCACGGATTGAGTGATGGCTTGCTAACAAATCATAGTTTAAATTAAGCCTCCAAAATTGTTTGATAAATGATGTGGTATGTATGCAATAGCACTATGCTTACTCATTAATTTTTTTATTTGATTTATCATTTTGATAATATGATAGCAAAGCAATTGATTTTCTTTCTTAAGCTTTACTTAGAACTTTTGAAGCCATCAATCATGTGGATCTGTTTGGGATTGTGTTATGCATGCTGTACATCTTAGACGGTCGCCACCACTCTGGTTGGGAACTACTTTCTTGTTTATTTCAAAAAATGTTTATGATGATAAACTGTTTTTTTCAACATGACCAATTAAAAGTGCAGTGACTGTAAGAAAATTAATATATGATTTTGATGGAAAAAAAAAATGTATTTATAATTTCGATCATAATTTTAAAAGAAGCTGGTTTCCATCATAATTTTACAACTATCTTTTTAAAAAGTTACACGATGCCCAAATGGATATGTAAATACATAAAAATTGTGCCTTATGTATGTGAATACCCCCAAAATAATTTATTTACGTATCATTCAGCCCTTTTTAAGTTGACTTAACCACCCAAATGTATCATTAGGCTTGAATCATTCTAACAGATATCCACGGGTTGGAAACTAGGACTGTCCAAAAAGCTCATTGTTCGCGAACAGTTTGTGTTCGATTCGTCAATGAGTTCGTGTTCGATTCGTTCGAGAAGTAAACAAGACGAATGTAAACAAATTTTTTTCGTTCGGTTAGTTAAATGAACCAAACACGAACAGTGATGCGTTCGTTTGTGTTTGAATTGTTATTGTTCGAAATATAAAATAATTTAAAATAATTATTTAAAAAAATTTATGATATTTTAAAAAATTAAATTTTAGAAATTATAATATATAATAAATTAATAATAATAATATAATAATATGTTATATTAGTAATATACTAATATAAATATTATATATTTATATAATATAAGTTATATAATTAATATAATATATTCGCGAACAGCTCATCTTCGGCCTGTTCGTTAAGAAATGAAGACGAATAGTGACTTCATGAATAATTTTAAACACGAGCTCATTTCAAATAAACTAACACGAGTTTGTGTTACACCCCCCTATTGAAACAAGCAAGGTCGAAGCTGCGAGCGTTTCCAACTGAAGAATGACGGGGAAGAAGCACAGCTACTCCTACGTCTAACCTTATCCTCTTCTCCTTCCCCTCAGCTCTGTTTCTCCCACGCTAGTCACTGAATCAATCTAACCAAAAGGAGAAAATGGCACTCACTCTTGCACCCGCCGTAGCTGCCATTAAAACGAGAATCTCGAGTAACGCGAGGTGTACAGAAGTGAGTGCCTCTAAATCCGGCTTATTAGTCGTCGCGGAGAAGTCGCCGGCGACTCCAACTCCGTCTCTTGTTGTTGGTAGGAGAGAGGGCCTCTCCGCATCCTTCACAGCCCTAACCCTCTCGCTCGCTTACCCGTCTCTCGCTACCATTCTAGAGGCGGACGACGACGAGGAGCTGCTTGAGAAAGTGAAGAATGACAGGAAGAAGAGGCTTCAGAGGCAGGGTGTAATCAGCTCCTCTGCCAAAGAGACAGGTTAGATTCTTTCTCTATTTCTTTAATGTGCCTTGTCTGATTGGCAATTAAGGCAAGAGAAGGATTGGGATTTGAATATGAGCTGTTAGTTTTCTTCTTGAATGATTCTGGAATGAGTAGCGGAGTCCCAAATCAAATTTTGGGGAGAAAGTTAGTACCCTTTTTTTTTTTTTGAGTTTTATTTGGTTTATGATTGCTAACATTTTTGGTTTTAATGGGTTTATATGTTCACATTCAGACTTGCTATTGTCTCTTTTTTCCTGTCTTGTTTGCGTGAAACTCTTCTACAACATGTATGTAATTTGCTTTGGTGAATTGAAGTTTTGGTGTTAGATATGTAAGGATATAGGAATTGAGTGGTATGTTCTTAGATCTTCCTTTGCTTTGTTTCAAGTAACATTTTACTGAAATGTGAACCATGACTGAGCTTGTGGAAGTTAATTTAGGATATGTTTGGGGTAACTTTCAGCCTGCTTTGTATTTCAGAAGCCACCACAGCTCCTTTTGGGGAATTGGTTTTTTGCTGTTTTCTAGAAATTTTGGTGGTGATAATATGTATTTTATCAACATGTTCTGTTAAAGTACAGTAACTGTAAAAAAAATGTCTGGTTTTTGGAAAAGAAACATATTTATACTTCTCATCACAACTTTCTAAAAATTTGCTTTCTGCACCACAACTTTACAAACATCTTTTTAAAAAGTTGCAGTCATCTCAAACACTCTTAGGGTCTGTTTGGGACAACTGTTCCAGAAAGCTGCAACAGATAAGTTGGCTGACTATTTGTTTATTGTTGTTTGAAAACAATTGCAACATAGTTGTTTTTGGACAAATGATTATTCTGAACCTGTGTAGTAATGTTATTTGCAACAAAATTATTATAACAATATATTTGATATTTTAGAATAAAAAATTCACTTCAAAACAGTGCAAAAAATAAGACATACACCTCACTTATCAGTGAGTATCATCATTATTAAAATAAAAATAATACTATTAAAATAACATTTAATAATATGATAATATTATTTTTAAAATGGGGACGACGTATGTCACGAGCCAGACTGTCCTCCAGAGATTCCATCCATTTATGCTCACTCTCGGCGGTGGAATATGTTTGTCTGTTGCCCACCAGAATACTATTAAAATAATATTTAATAATATGATATATTATTTTTAAAATGGGGACGACGTATGTCACGAGCCAGACTGTCCTCCAGAGATTCCATCCATTTATGCTCACTCTCGGTGGTGTAATATGTTTGTCTGTTTGCCCACCGGAAGAAGTCACACTTGTTCGTGATTCTCCACGGGCATCTATAGAATTGTCTCCCGTAGCTATGTGTTTGACGTGACGTAAGCAAGAAACTCTCCCACAGCCCACAACACAAACACGCAGCCCAAGACCACCACACCTCCACACACATCCCACTACCACCACATCACAAGACATAACACCACAAACACCCAACTCACATCCACCAAATCACAATCATCCAACCACACCTCCACACACATCCCACATACACTACACCACAGTGGCACGATACCACATCACAGTGGCACGACACCACAACAACCCAACCCATAATACAACCACCACAACCCACAACACAGTCATTGGTTTTGAGTGTCCTGTATGTAATTTGAAGAAAACATTGTCATCTACAAATTAAGCATCTTATTTCATCCATTTTTAATGTTCTCACTCAAACATGAAAGGTGGTGATAAAACCCCATCCCATATTTGTCATTTGAGGCAATTACATATAGGGCACCCAAAACACCGCTATCTACAAATCAAGCACCCTCTTTCATTCATTTTCCAAATTCTCGCTTAAAAATCAAATCCATAATTTTGATTTGAGGCAATTATCTACAGGGCACCCGAAACAATGCTATGTACAAATCAAGCACCCAATTTCATCCATTTTTCAAATTTTCACTCAAACATTAAAAGAAGTGATAAAACCCTATCCCATACTTTTCATTTGAGGCAATTACATAGAGGGTAGCCGAAACAATGCTATGTACAAATCAAACAACCTATTTCATCCATTTTTCAAATTCTCACTCGAACATCGAATGAAGTGATAAACCCTTGTCCCATATTTTTCATTTGAGACAATTACATACAGTGCACCCTAAACGTTGTTATCTACAAAATAAGCACCCTCTTTCATTCATTTTTTAGATTCTCGCTCAAAAAAAAAAATTATGTAATGTTGAATAGAGGCAATTACAAACAGGGCACCCGAAACAATGCTATGTACAAATCGAGAACCTTATGTCATCCATGTTTTAAATTCTCACTTAAACATCAAAGGAAGTGATAAAATCTCATCCCATATTTTTCATTTAGGGCACCTGAAACTTTAGTATCTACAAATTAGGCACCCTCTTTCATCCTTTTTTTAGATTCTTACTAAAAAAAAAGGTATGTAATTTTGAGGGCACCCGAAGCAATGCTAGGTACAAATCAAGCACCCTATTTCATCCATTTTTCAAATTCCCACTCAATAACCAGTGGAGGCAATGATAGAAGGTCATCCCATATTCCAAAACATTTTTATCTACAAATCAAGCACACTCTTGCATCCATTCTCTAAACACCATTCCACATTTTCCATATTTTTTTGCAAGGCTTGAATCCCAAATCGTAAATTGTAAATCGCAACAAATGACAAATAAAAAAATTACAAATCCTAAATATCACAAACGTCTCACAACAAACTGAAAATGAGAAAGCAAAAATAGCATAAAGAAAGCTATTTCATCAAAAATTACTTATAGAGTATAGCAACCAGAGAGAGGCATGCACCTGAGCCAGATGAGACGCAAGAGAGGGGCAGCAGGGTAATAGGTACACGGGCAGCAGGGTCGAACCCACGACCACATTTAATAAGAATTTTTATCAAATTATTGAAATAATCTACAGCGCCGCACTAATCAAACGCTTCTTCCAGCATTTTCAAAACACACTGCACCAAATAAGCTGCCTCAAATGGGTCCTTAATCTCTATTTGTTATAAAAGAATTGAGTAAATGGATTTCATTTAACAATTGCGCATTGGATATTTAGTTTCAATATGACCAATAGGGTAAGTGGTTCACCTAAGAATGTGAACCTATTTCCATTTCTAGCTCTTTATCAAACCTGATAAAATAAAGGGAAATTCACATACATACCACGCATCTCCTAGCTATTTACATATCTAACACCTAAAATTTGATATTTACATTTATAACACTTTGGTGTCAAAACCTTTGTATGAAAAGGACTATATATTTGAGTGGTATGCATGTAAATGTGAAAGTTTTGGTGTTAGGTGTGTAAATATATAAAAATTGTATGGTATGCATTTAAATATGTGAAGAAAAATTCTGTTGGTTTTACAAGAAAAAAATACTCATTTCGTCCCCTTCAACCAAAAAAGTGAGGCAAAAACAAATTTCAACTAAATTCTTTCTAGTCATTTTTATTAACGGGCATTTACATTCATACCTCCCAATTTTTATGTGTTTACATATCTAACCTCTAAACATTGCCTTTTACATTATACCATGCAAACCATTCACATCACATCAAAAATACCACCATTTTAACTTTTAAAATGTAAGAAGTTTAGGTATTAGATATGTAAATAATATCAATTAAATGGTTTTGCATGTGAATCTTCCTTATATTAAATGGTATGTATGATGAGGTTATTAAGTATAGATACTGGACAAGAATAAGGTTAATCTCGTAATAACTCAAATGTTTGTGTGGACAGGTTACCTCCAGGAACTTGTATACAAGCTTAGTAAAGTGGGTAAAGCTATTGAAAACAATGATTTAACTGAAGCAAGTTCAGTACTTGGCTCAAGCATCCGTGAGGATTGGGTCCAAAATGTCAATGTTGCATTTGCAAAGGTCTCCATTTTTCTCATTTGATATTATCATTTCTAGCTCTTAAGGTGACATTGTAATTTTTTTTTCTGAATTGAAATTTACAGCTGACATCTAACCCTGAGGAGAAGAGTGAGGTTGATGCATTCAACTCTTCTTTGGCATCTCTTATTTCATCAGGTGCAATACATAAAGTTCATTTTGTTTGATTATGCAAGTTATTTTAAGTCTTTTTGATATTTTTCTCATTTCAGTTGATAAGCGTGAAATTGAGTTGTCGAAATCGGCTTTCGTTTCTTCTGCGAGCGCATTGGTGAGGTGGGTCGAATCAACTGGTTTGGGGGCTTTACTGAAAGGTCTTTAACTATGAGGAGTGATGATGTTTATCCTTGTTCTGATGAAGCATAGAGCCTTCTTTGAAATCTGTTCAAGGATCCCAGCAAAACCTGCAAAAAAAATAAATTAAAATGAAGCCCTACATTTGTTTTTTTTTTTAATTTTATGATTTGTTTGTTGCTTTTTTGAGATTGTATTTTTGTATAAAAGAGCATGTAGCAATCTGACTGTCTAAATGTTGCTCCCTCGCTCTCTTTTGTGTATGTAGTGATTTAAAGAATGTTTTTGATCATTTTTAAGAAAAACTTGGAGTCGTGAGCTTATTTATTTATTTGTCGTCTTCGTATGGTTCCCTTTTCTAAATAAATCTCCATACCGAATCATATGAATGATCCGAAGAGGAGATGAATCAGAAAAGACAAACAAATTTTAAAAGAAATATTGAGGGCTTATGTATGTGTGATAGGTCGAGAGTATATATCCAGACAAGATCAAATCAAAATAACTTGAAACACGGTATCCACGAAGAAAATCCCTATATTATCCAGACAAGATCAAATCAAAATACCTTGAAACACGGTATCCACGAAGAAAATCCCTATATAATATACTGATAATCAAAGAACCAAAAAAAATATTTTTATTCTAAGTTTAAGAACACTTTCAAAGGAACGTATCCTTTTGGTTAATTATATCTTTGTGGATACCTAAGAATACTCTCGATAAAAGTCTTATTTACATTGTCATGACTGGTAAATAGGTCACCAAAAAGATGGTTATTTCATAGGAATATCTCGATGCTTTCGAAGCTCTTGCTAAGTCACAAGGCAGAATGAATCTCTCGCATCCAAAATGGGTATCCGCTCATCGAGGCCCACAAAATAATCAAGTTCACTCATGGGATCCACACTATGCTTACAAGGCCTAACACGGGCATAAAGGTAGAGGGTGAATCACCGTATTCCAAATGAGCGGCAGCCTATCCGGAATCGGGGCACACGAGATGACACCAAGGAAGTCACAAAAGAATGATACAACTCAAAAGGGCTCAACAAAAGGAAATGTAGAGCAATCTTAATCGGGTAGAGATATCCGAGTCAAGATACCACAGATCTGTCATCCCAAGCTATTAGTTTACCTGATCCTAAAGGTAGTTGACTCAACACAACCAGAAATTTCTTGTCAGCAATTCATGAATTGTGTCGTCCAAGGAGACCTCGATAACTTTAAGCTCAAAAGAAAGAAACTATAAATTCTATGACCTTATAGAGGTATAGCTCAAAGAGGTAGGACTTATACTCACCAAATAAAAGGGCGAAGATGTCACATGAAAGAAGAGAAAAGAGATGTGTAGCTATAAACCTGAAAAACACTCCCACGAAAGACTCATACCACGTTTGAGTCGAGGAAGCCTCTAACACTCTAAACGCACTAGACAATCATCTAAGTGGAAATCTATGCTGGGCGAGTCGAGTTGAAGAAGAAAAAGGACTCCTCCTCGAGACATACAATATGATGCAGTTATCTAAAGTCCTAAGCGTGGATGCCCTAATAATTATGATTGGGGATAAGTCCATGCCATGCAAACCATTTTAAACTGGCCCGAAGGTCATGCAGAAAAGTAAAAGTGCGGATTTAATATAGTTGAATATTTTAGTACCAAATTTTGATTAATCTAAATCTTTTATTACGATTTTTATATAAAAAACTATATTTTAGGGTCCTTAAAGTGGTTAAATTATATCGCAGGATTCCCAAACAACCCACAATCAAAGAAAGAGGAAATATGCAACACATTTCACAAGGTAAATCAAGCCAAATATAAATAAATAACGTTGGGCGTCGGGGTTAGTAACACATCCCAGAAAAAGCAAAAAGACGGTCAGACTCTGCATATACATGCTTGGTCCTAAATGATATACATCAATATCAAAATACATAATTAAGATACGAGACATGAGCATCTGCTCCTGGTCTTCGTGACGTGGTTTCACGCTTCAAGCGTCTCAAAATTCATGCCCGTATCTTATTTCCACTACAGATTGCCCTGAGACTCTAAAAATTACATGATAAAATCCAAAAAAAATGTCAACCTGCAAAATAGGGGTTAGCATAGGTTATATCATGCAACGTGATGAACCATGCTGTCGGTCAACTTTCATAAATTTGGTTTGAAAATTTGATTTAAATATAAAGTATATAGTTTAGATTATGAAAGTAATGTTTTTATTTTTTAGAAAATAAGACCGAATGGATCTCATTAGTCTAATAATTTGCATAATCATGCATGATATCCCGAATATTACACATTTCAAGAGATAAGTGTAGACCCCGACAATAGATCCAATCATGCAAACTAAGAGATTTGTGACATCCATTTGATCTGCGAACCTTTTATATGAGACCGACAAATTCCCCTATTTAATAGAAAGATTAAATAGAGTTTATTTTACCTGGATTTCAAGTTCCATATAGAGACAAACCCCTATAGTTAATTACATCCCAAATGACAGGAGTCACTTGAGAAAACTCTCGATAATAATCAGTAGTTCTAGTCTTCAAGAATTCGAGGTTTAGGTTTTCACGGTAGGAGGTGGAAAAAACAAGTGGGAATGACTCAAGTTGAAACGATTTTTTCAGGAGTCCAAAGGAAGTAAATGGTAGGGGACGTCACATATCCTATGAGAAATGCTCAGTGACTTCCCAAACAATCATACTGTGCGGCTATGTTTTAGAGAAAATGTTATTTGAATATTTTAATCCTGTCAATTTTATTTGTTTGGGACTTACACTTGCATAATAAATGGTTATGCAAATAGCCCGCAAAGATAAGAGGTTTTACGTCATTCTGGACAACAACCTCAGAACCTAAGACGAGTTAGGACTTATACTGCTCAGTATAACTGCGCAGGCGCTAAACGCAGGAGCTTAAAAGAGAGTGAGGATTTACGTCGCGCTGGGCGAGCTACCTCG